CACCTCTTTCTGACCGTTAGAGCCAATAGAATCGAAGGGGGAGGCCCCCACACACACACGTTGTGAAGAGAAAAGGTGGGGGCTGTGCGCATGTAAATGTGCAGCAGAGTGGACCTATCTCTAGCTCTGGCATTTGGAAACGAAAAAGCAGTTTTATTGCTTATGGATTATCAGAAATAATTTCAAAGAGGGCACAGATACATTTGATTAACCTATGGATTAACTGCAGCATCGTTTTTTTATCGTTTTAATGCCATTGAAGACCAGTTTTGACCAAGGTAAGCCATGTTAGCGTTTCTAGCTACGTAGCTCCACATGTTATGACGTACGCTTTCGTTTATAGCGTCGCAAATGTTTATCACTGAGTGTTGAGGTGGGCACCAAACGATTCCGTGTCTCCAGGAGACCCAAAACGAATGGTTGGCTGTGCATCTAGGATAAGTAATAAGGGAGTTATTGTGAGTTTAAGTGCCGTTTTAGGTTACATTTTTTCGCTCGTGGCTAATTCAGAGGCTGAGTGTTAGCATTGTGTTTTTTTTTAGAAAAAAATAATTAAAAAGATCAGTTAGCTGAGTTTATTCCCGTTACATGGATATAAAACATTCATAGTTTATTAAATATTAAGATTCCTTAGACGTTGTTTCCTGCAAATGACGCGTTTATCCGCCCGGTACCGGGGGGGCCGTACGTAACAGGTTAAGGGGCTTTTTTCTCCCGTTTTTTTCTCACAAAACTCTTAAAATGTAATAAACTATTCATGTGTCCTACTCATTTAACGGGAAGAAACGCAGCTAACTGATGATAGCCATGTTTACCGAAACAAAACACAAGTCTCACAAGAAGCGTCTAAATGAGCCCTGAGCGAAAAAATGCTAACCTCTGTTCCTTACTTCTTACTTGCTACCCCCTATACCTCAACCTATCCTAAGGGAGTGCATGTACGTAGACACGTTAGTTTAGCTGCTATAGGCTTAGACTGTCGGGAGACACCTTACTTCTTCCTTCTGTCTGTCTGTACCTGTGTACTCTCATGTTCCGAATAACCCAGCTTCCCCCAAATTTCTTTTTGGTGTCTATATCTACGCCGGGATCCTGAGTCGTGGCTGATCCTGTTGCTGTGGTCCTGTGTCCTGGATCCTCTATCCTGAGTTCTGGATTTGAGTCCTGGACTTCGAGTCGTGGCTGAACCTTTCTCTGCGGTCCTGCCTGACTCTCATCATACTACTTCCCTGATGTCCCACAGGATTGTTGACATCCTTGTGGATTCATCTTCTTATTATAGACACATGCATTTCCAAACATTTGGTCTACCTACGCTGTAAAATGTATTATCTCTTCGATTTACACACGGCATCTATTGCACGTCTGTCCGTCCTGGGAGAGGGATCCCTCCTCTGTTGCTCTCCCTGAGGTTTCTCCCATGTTTCCCTTTAAACTGTGGGTTTTTCTCTGGAAGTTTTTCCTCATACGATGTGAGGGTCTAAGGACAGAGGGTGTCGTATTGTCATACTGATATTCTGTACAAACTGTGAAGTCCACTGAGACAAATGTAACATTTGTGATATTGGGCTATATAAATAAACATTGATTGATTGATTGAGTACTTGAATAACTGTACTTAGTTACTTCCCACATCTGAAATCAGATATGATTTCAAGTCATGTGATAATTTCTTAGTATTTGATCCTTCAACTTGGCCTCAGGAAATGCAAGGACTTCACATTTTTGGCAACACGTTTTGGAGAAAGCAAATTGGAGGCTTAAACAGGGACAGGGAGGTGCATCTGCAGCATCTTCATAATCTACCATGCAAGAAGAGGAACTAGAGGACAGTGAAGGAGACACTGAGGAGGACAGTGAGGAAGACTGCACTTATTAACACCACGCTTTGTGTAACGGTGAGTACCAAACGCCGTCTCCTGGTACTCATCTGAGTAATTCACTAAAAAAGTTATGTGCACCCCTGCCTATTATGCTATTTTTAGGCATATTATGGGTCTCAGATATATACAAATATATAAAAAAACATGTCTATGATGTGTTTTGCTCAAAATACCAAACAGATCATGCATTTTAGACATCCCTCATATCCCTCTATTTCAGGCCTGGTTCGGGGTCCTTAGCTTGAAAAAATAAAAAAGAGGAGGGGGAGCTAATGCCTGCTCAGAATTATACCGGAGATTAAGCTAAATGCTGCTGTGATTAAATGCCATATCATGTTCCAAACCACATCAAGGATTATTTCTGAAACAGCTCAAATGCTTTTTCTCTTGAGGGTTTACTACAAGGTGAGTTCCTTTTTTTTCATTTCCTGTTTTTTACACATACTCTCTCCAGTACAGCTTAGCTCTGAGCGTTAGCGATGCTAGCTAATGTAAACAAAGACCATATTACGTCCAAAACACGTCGGGAGTTGTTTCTTATAGCAACTTGCTGATAGTGCCGTGGGTCCACATTTCCGATATTACGTCATATCGGAAGCAAATCTGGATCAGTTCCGTTGTACCCACGTTTTTAGAGATTTTGGCACGGAGGAAAAGAGAGAGGGTTTTGTTTTCAGACACTTTGTGAGTTCCCTGACACACCGCTCAGTTTAAAAGTGTATGAGTGTGTGAATAAAACGGGGACAGCTGGCTGCTGTCAGACGATCAGCTGTGCCGGCGTCATCACAAACGGATGTCGCTTAACGTGACGCTCCGAGGAAAGTACGTTCCATTGCTCTTAAAACACATTTCCTTGCTTCTTCTCCCTTGTTGTGAGCTACGTCTCACCTCTCTTAACTTGCATCCCTGCGTCCCTCACTTTCGGTATTTACCGTCTCCATGCATGGGTGGGAGGGGCTAAGACGCAAGGGGCTAAGACGCAATGGGCTAAGACGCAAGGAAACCACGAGAAGGGAGAGGAAGCAAGGAATTGAGTTTTAAGACGTCCTTTCCTCGGAGCGTCACGTTAAGCGACGTCCGTTTGTGATGACGCCGGCACAGCTGATCGTCTGACAGCAGCCAGCTCTGTCCGCCCTCCTCCACCTCCTGTAAATAAAATAAGAACTAATTTTCAAAAACAGAAGCCATTCTTAAAATGTATAAAGAAACAATAGTTTAATATTTCTCTGAGTGTAGAATAGAAAGAAAATAAGTGAGATTTGTATCATCTGTTGTAGACCCAAATCAATTAAATTAAATAAGAACTAATTTTCAAAAAAAGAAGCCATTCTTAAAATGTATAAACAAACAATAGTTTAATATTTCTTTGAGTGCACAATAGAAAAAAAGTGAGAGAAGAGAAAGCGTAACAGAAATATTGTGGGTTACATAAATGTGAACAGATGTTGCACTATAGTAACAGTAGGCATAAAAATAACATTAAGTAACTTTTAAACTGAGGGAAATCACCTAATTCTTGTCTCAGCTTTGACTGAATGGAAATGAAAGTAAATACAAATTTACTTTTACTTAAAGCGACGACCGAGGAGCAAGGAAATGACAAATAAGAGACTTGAGATAGACCCTTAAGCGATTGGGACGTCCTTCAACATGCCGTGTTCCGAGTCAAGTCATGGAGGAGAGAGGAGTCAAGCAGGGAGATTGGGATGTTACGTTACGTCACTATACCCAAATACGTCACTATACCCAAGAAGAAAAAAATGGAAAAAGAAATCTCCAACGAGGCGTTCTGGGGCAGCATAAACAGGTATTTTCTGTGTTAGAGTTTTACTCGCTACAGGGTGTACTTTGAGGGTTTGTGACTCTGCAGACCGTTTACATGCATAAAAAGCTACATAACACACAAGGGGACGGGTAATAACTAGAAAAGCATGACAAGCATTTAAATACTGTACAAAAGTGATAACTGCCAACCTCATCTATACAATCATTTCTGTAATTATTATTTGATTACACAATTGTTGGGCTTTTGTTTTCCTTTAATCCAAAGGTGGTGCTGCTAGATTTGACTTAATGAAGATTAAGTCATGCTTAAAAATACTAACGGTACGTCTACACAGCAGCGTTAAAAAAATCTTGAAACGCTTCTGCCCATTCACTTTGAATGGGGTGACGTCACTTTCCCTCACTTTTCGCCGAAATGGATTGTGGGCAGGCGAGCGGAGATTTTCAGGATTTTGAGGATTCAAAGTTGAACAATGTTCAACTTTTGAGGCTGAGGTGGAAGCGTCAGCCAATCAAATCCAGTGTACGCAAATCTGACAGTTCAAGCTCTAGCCAATCAAACGGCGTGTATGCTGGGAGAGACATACCGCAGGTCATTTCCTCATATTCCAAAAAATGGAGGAGAAATTAGCGGTAGCGAATCAATCACCCGGTGCTTTATGACCAGACCTACCGGGATATAAACCGGAGGAGCCAGGCATGGAGGGAGGTGGCAGAGACAGTGGTATGTTTTCGCCTGTTTTGGGGAGTTTATATCCAGTTTACTTCGGGCTTTTTTGCTTCGTATGTCGCGGGCGGGAGATTCATGTGATTGGTTGCTCGCAAAAAATCCTCAAGCTTCAGATACGCCCACCTCCAAGATTTTTTTAACGCTGCTGTGTAGACGTACCGTAATAGTAAAATATAATAATTTTGAATGACTTTGGATGTCCTTCTGATCTTCCTGTTCTTTTTTAAGCTGATGCAACTACTAAAATATATTACCAGCTATTATAAACCCCTTTTTATGATTTGATGAATACTTATAATTGTACTAATAATAATTATAGTTAATATATGGTAATAACCAGACTTCCTCATACCAGAACCACGTCATTATTTCAAGCAGCATAACAATTAAACAGAGAAATAAAGGTAATTAAATTATACTTAAAGCCTAAATATTTAGTCTTAATTTGTAGTTTTTAAACATTTATTTGTTTTTCAGATAAATAATGTGAAAAAGTGACACAAAAAGCCGCATTAAAAAAAGTGTGTGTGTGTGTGTGTGTGTGTGTGTGTGTGTGTGTGTGTGTGTGTGTGTGTGTGTGTGTGTGTGTGTGTCCGACCGACCTGTGTGTGTTCGCATATGCCTCTTGAGGTCGAAAGTATCATTGAATCCTTTTCCACAGAATCTACATGGATGTCTCTTCACCAGGCTGTGGCACTTCAGGTGACGGGTCAACATGCGCTGCAGGGGGAATATCTTGTGGCACACTGAGCACATAAAATCTCCTGAGCCAGGGGAAGCACGGGGACGGGGCTGGTGGACAGAGAAAAAACTATTTATAATATAAACAGTTATCAATTCACAGTATGTCCAAAAACCGGTTCTGGAACAGTTTTGGTGGGAAAGGAGTAACAGACGGATAAGGATGGCCCCTCTTGATTTTCTGCTCAATCTCACCACTATCCTGTCAATCAGTTCTACCTTTTGCATCCTCCTAGGTAGCACAGACGTCATATCATGTAAACTAGCTGGACTTCACACTCCCAATCAGAATTAAATATTACAGAGGTTTTTTTTAACACAAGTTCACCTTCTGCGCACAAAACCCTCCAACCAACTGCTCCCTGGCGCTGAACAAACTGGCAGCAAAATGCATGTGTTTGTATATGTATTCAGACCTAATGTGTCCTGTGGGTCCTGTGCTGTGCATGTGTGTAATACAGCTGACTGAACACCTGAATTTCCCCTTGGGGATAAATTAGAAGTTCATCTTCTTACATACTATGGATTCCTCTGAAGGGCTCTCCCTGCTTGTTGTGATTTATGTTCGGTACTTTATCTTACTAGAATCTGTAAATGGTACCATAACATATCATACTAAATAAACTGCTGCCACCATGGATTTCCTCTACAAGTTTGCCACTCCAGTCAATTTCCTCTCGTCAGTCCTGATCGGGTCTTTCCAGGCTGTCAGCTTACCTATTCACAGCAGTCATTAACTAAGTTATCCATGGCAGTACACAAAAGCGCCAAAATTAGGGCCACCCTTCTTATATGAAAGACCAGCTGTGGAAAGCTTGTTGTGTAATGTGAGTGAAACTTTACTTGAGAATAAAATTCTGACCTTACCTTTGCTCTGCTGACCAGTGTCAGCGTACTGGGATGGTAGAAGGAGCCTTGTAGCATAAGTGTGGACAAATCATGCCTGCTGTCAGCCCCTGGTGCTCCTGATCCTGCTAAAGGTACTGACTCTCTAATTTCAGCTGCTGTCCCATATCCTGTGGGGGCTACTGACTGATGCACAGCTGCATGCTGTTCGGTGTCAGGACTGCACGATATCTGCTCCATAGCAATTTTACTCACTTTAAAAGGGATACAAACATTTTTTAGCTATACAAGTACATTAACAAGGTCAAAAGACTAACTTCAGAAAAATGTATATATATACAGTACATGTCACTGCTTAGAGCACAAACTATATTTTACGGAACTTTGAATTCTTACCTACTGTATTCTCTTGTTTCCACTCAAGCTGTTCTGGCTCTTTCCATTGCCAGGCTCCAAATGCCCCGCGTTTCTTTTTTACAAGGAAAGACCTCGGCATCCTTTGAATTCTCTTTCTTGTCCCTTATCTTAGTCCTATTTCTCTTTTACTTCTGATGATCTGTTTCTTAAATCTAGATTCAGCCTCTGATTCTTTAATCAGCACTGCTTGTAGATTTATGGACCAACCTCCACTTACCTCCAGTCCTTACATTCAAACTTTATCAATTGAAATCCTGCAGGTACAGAATCCCAGCAAAATCACAGTGCTCATTTCCATAACATCGTATCAGAAGAGTGGTGAAGGTTAGGAGCACTGTTGAGTGGGGGAGGGAGGTAGCAGGCTTTTTGTTTTGACTGGAGTACACCTGTGTTGACTGTGAGCATGCGCCACTTTAACTTGTCCCCCACTGGTTTTGCATGTCAGGCAGTGAGAATCCGGGGCGCTTCGCATTCAAGTGGCCCTTGGAATGCAAATTCTTGACCTGGACCAAGCCCTGGTCCCAGACAAAGGGCACGGTCTGAGTAACAGGAACAAGTACAGAGGAGCCACAGCTTTAACTGCTAGTTAAATAAGCCCTTTCTCTCCCTTTTTTTAAGCTCCAGTTGCAATTGTTTGGTGGGATTACAGAGTTTCTCAATGCACACAAAGGCCATTCAAACACATATTCACTAACTTGCCGACCGTTGACTGTGTTCATAACATGATTGCACATTCATGATGGTACTCTGGGGGTAAGCAGCAGCCCCTGCTATAAAAGAACACTAAAACATAACAAAAACTGTCATATCTCAGGCTTGTTTAGCAACATGTTACTTAAGAAATAGTAAACTGCACAACATGTTCTAATTATGACTAAATGAACAGCGTCATCTAATTTCACTGGACTCTGCATGGCAAATACAAATTCAGCTCGAGACTAAACCCCATCATGCAAATAACAATAGAGGACACTCCAAGAACATCAGGAGGATCATATGGTACAAACTATACATATAAGGTGTGAAAAGCTGTCACTGCAACTATGAATTATAAAGGCCCAGCCATGAAATGTTAATATGTGTCAAAACATATTAAATCATAACACATCTTTGCTTAAAACTAATTAATGTTTAAAAAACTATAACATTATTTTTCCAATCCAGACAAGCCTTATTTTTCCAACAACTTTGTTTACAATGTTACATGAACCAATTCCATTACATTTTTTTTTTATTATAAGTATTGCCTTCCACCACATTCAAAAAAAAAGTTTACTAATCATTTATATGATTTTGCTATTATAAAATATACATTTTTAAGAAAGAAAACGTGTTTTTATTAATAACACAAGGGAAATTGTATTTTTTTCCTCGGTTGTTATTATTTTTGAGCACTCAAATCTGGAAAGGGTGTCTCTCATCTTCTGCAACATAAGATCACTGGCTAATAAAAGGAACAAGCTAACGGTGTTAGCAAAGATTCAGCAGGAAAATCTGGAGGGAAGTTTAATGTGCTCTACTGAAACATTTCCATCAAAACTGCGGACTGTTTGGGCTGACAGAGCTTCATCATGAGCCTGAGTCTTCATCATGAGCCTGAGTCCTTATCATGAGTTACGTTCCCTCCAAATCTAGGGGTACCAAGGGAAGTAACAAAACACAACGTTGACCAGGCACGAGAAAAAAGAGAGGAAACCGTTCTCTGGAGTCACGAACAGGCCTTTTAATAGTAAAAAAAAAGAACACGGGCTACTCACCAGCTAACTTGCACATTTAAGCTAGTGTCCCATATCCAGGAGCACATCTCTTATTGACCTACAGAACACAGGTTGTACGCATGCAGCCAGAGGAGGAAAATGGGGAATCACTGCAGTCTTCCTCCGGTCCTATATGGAGGCCCTGATTGGGAATTTGGAGCACACACACACACACACACACACACAAACACTACGGCACGTAACAATGAGCCTGAGTCTTCATCATGTCTTCACCATGAGTCTGAGTTTTCATCGTGTCTTCATCATAAGCCTGAGTCTTCATAGTGTCTTCACCAGAGATGGGGTCGTTACTAAAAAAAAGTAATATATTACATATTACATATTACTTTAAAAAAAAAGTAATATATTACACTACTTCGTTATTCTCTACATAAAGTAACTCGTTACTTTACTCGTTACTTTACTCACAGGGCCGGCCAGCCCCTCCCTGCAGGCAGATCACGCAGACTGCTAAAGTTTCAAATGTTCTCTTTAGTTCAGTTTCCATTGTCGCATAAGACTGATCCAGATAGCTCTGACTATGGCTGTCCTCTGTCTCCTGCTATCTGTATTTTGCGCAGTATATCTCTGAACGATGCGATGGTGATTCCACTGCAAATGGGCAACATTACCTCTACTATGAAGGATGCTACAAGCCTGTCCATCTCTGCTTTGGTTACCGGTCCTCCAAATTCTTGCGGCGGCGCACTCACAACATCCTCACTCTGGGTTCGGGGGTCCTTAGCTATTAGCTTCACCTTAGCATGTGTTCTTTGCAGGTGTTTGTTGAGGTTTGACATGGTGTTTACAGCAGTGGATAACAGCTTCTGGCCTGGACACAGTTTGCACCTCACCGTCACATTCTTGTCTATTCTTCGGACGAACTCAAAATAATGGGCATACCTCCACCCCTCGAAAGTTATCGCTGACTCAGCCATGTTTATGCAGCACTGCACGTGGAGATGTGGACGTGCAAGTCGCGCAGATTACGTACATATAAACCTGCGGCGGAAACCCCTCTTGTCTGTCAGTGTGATTATGACCAGGGGTGCACATAACCTTTTTAGTGAGTTACTCAGATGAGTACCAGGAGACAGCGTTTGGTACTCACCCCACATGAAGCGTGGTTTTAATAAGTGCAGTCTTCCTCACTGTCCTCCTCAGTGTCTCCTTCACTGTCCTCTATTTACACTTCTTGCATGCTAGATGATGAAGATGCACCTCCCTGTCTCTTTTTAAGCCTCCGATTTGCTTTCTCCAAAACTTGTTGCCAAAACTGTGAAGTCCTTGCATTTCCTGAGGCCAAGTTGAAGGATCAAATACTAAGAAATTATCACATGACTTGTAGTCATATCTGATTTCAGAGGAGGGAAGTAACAAAGTACATTTATTCAAGTACTGTACTTAGGTACAATTTATGCTACTTTGTACTTCTACTCCACTACAGTTCAGAGGTAAATCATGTACTTTTCCTCCACTACATGTAGTTAATACATTTTAGTTACTTCACAGATCTGGATGAATGATGTGAAATATAATCAAGTCTTAAATCAGACTTTAGTTCCACCTGGAGTAAATTCACAAGCTACCCTGCAGTAGCCTATACAAAGTCATTCAAACTAATTTTTAAACACTTTAATGATCAATAATTATAAAACATATCATATACATTATTATGAAATGGACCAATCCGCAAAATGACTACTTTTACTGTCGCTACTTTAACTAGGTGTTGATGATAATACTTTTCTAATTTTACTTGAGTAACACTTCATCCACCTAACCCTGTCTGATTTCAAACTCTTCCATTAACAGCCTGAGTACGTTTGCAGGCAGCTGTGTGTTTTACTCCACTTTGTTGTAAATAAAACTGCAGCAGCTTGACCACAGAGCGTGAACGTTGTGATCAGCTGATTTTGCGCAGTTCTCCAGTGTGTGCGCGGGGCACAGAATGTGCACAGGGGAGTCTCCCACTGCAGCCAGTTGATGTAGTTTTGGTACAATTCTGTTGTACACACCGACGTTAACAGCAGCTCCGTCTGTGCACACGGCGACCAACTCTGTCGTCCAGTGATCTAAGCCTCTTTCTCCTGTGAAGCTTCACAGGTCCGTCGGTTATGTCCTGCGCGGCACGGCCAGCACCCAGTTCAATCAGTCATAGAAAGTCTGAAGATTTTTGCAGGGAGCGAAACGGCAAAGTGGCTGCTTAATGTCTTTGTTTTTTTTGGACATGTCTAATAATTTACTCCACTGAGTGTTGACAAGAAACACGTATAGACGAAATATGTGTTTTTGTTTTGATGACCTATCAAGTACGCAAAGGCGCGTTGTGACACAAGTGACGTTACGCATTTCAGATTGTTGCCGCGCATGCGTACCTATGTACCAGTTATGTGCACCCCTGATTATGACTGATTTTATAAAAGTAACGAAGTAACGCGTGTCGGGGCAATGTTAGTAACTGTAGTGTGATTACTGAATTATAAAAGTAACGCGTTACACTACTCCGTTACCGACAAAAGTAATATTATTACAGTAACTTTGTAACGCGTTACACCCAACTCTGGTCTTCACCATGAGCCTGAGTCTTCCTCATGTCTTCATCATGAGCCTGAGTCTTCATCATGTCTTCACCATGAGCCTGAGTCTTCATCATGAGCCTGAGTCTTCATTGTGTCTTCATCATGAGCCTGAGACTTCATCTTGTCTTCATCATGAGCCTGAGTCTTTATCCTGTCTTCATCCTGAGCCTAAGTCTCATCATGTCTTCATCATAAGCCTGAGTCTTCATCGTATCTTCACCATGAGCCTGAGTCTTCCTCATGTCTTCATCATGAGCCTGAATCTTCATCATGTCTTCACCATGAGCCTGATCCTTTATTTTGTCTTCTCTGCTGAGACAAAACGGGAACATCAAAGGAGTAGAGGTACCAGGGGGAGGGTTAGTTTAGTTTATCAGTACGCAGAAGACACCACCATCACGGTTAAAGATAGGGAAAGTGTTAGGGAAGTATTGGATAGTCTATAATGGTAGGCCTATATACATTATTTCAGACTGAAATATTGTATATAGGTGACGATAGGGTAGGGAGAATAGGGTTAAAAGAAAAGAAAGATTATTTCAGGGTGTTAGGGATACATTTAAGGATAAAACATATAGGACAGACAGTATGAGGAAATTATTAATAGTGTAGCTAAAACTTTGAGATTTTTGAAAATTAAGAAACTTAAATTAAGGGGGAAGATAGTAGTAGTGGATAGGTTAATAATGAGTAGAGTGTTTATTTGATGACAGTTTTAGATGTACCGGATAGAGTAGTAA